ATCGCATTCCACCACAATGTATCGATCAGACCCGTCATCATAATTGGGGTGATATGCTGGGTAGATCCCCATGCGCCTGGAGGTGCGTAAACAGTCCCAGTACTGACGGCATCCAACGGGCATTTCCAAAGTAAGAGCAGGTTGCCCCGCAGAACTCTGAGCTGCTGCCGATGCTGCGGGTGCACGAGCGCCCGCCGATGACGAGGCAGCGCCTGCCGATGCCCTGGGCGTCCGAGGAGTCCTTGGCGGGGTGCAGATGTCGAAATTCGAACGTTTCTTCTCATTGATGTTGTAGCATTCGTATGTCTTGTCTTTGGGAGCTGCCCCTGATGCCTTTGATGTAGTTTCCACTAGTATCTTGTCGGTACCACGCCGCGTCGAAGATCCCCCCGGTGTCGGCACCCAGCCAGTCCTTTGTGTCCGGCCAGGTGTAGGGCCGCGACGTGGTACAGAGTCCTTCGGAGTAGGAGTGCTGGTGCCTTGAAATGCAGCTGCCGCGGCGGCCACTGCTGGTCCTCTGGATCGACGTCGATCAGCAGGTTGCGCCGCAGGTTGTTGTTGCTTGCTATCTCCAGGATTGGGATCATCTGGGCTTTTCCTCTTCTTCTGTTTGGGCGGTGGTCTGAGCTGATCAGGTCCGAGTGACTTAGATAGACTCGACGAATCCGAAGATGGAGAAATATCAATAGGCGGATTTGTCTTCGGCTTGGGAGGAGGTGCCTCAGCCGTTGCCCCTGCAGGTATCAATGGCCCATATCGCACGGGCCCTCTGCCAGGGTTAAGGTCTACACCATCGGGCTTTCTGAGCGCCACATTACCGATAGCGGCCTTTCCCTTCACGCTTAAGAGATATTTGGTAGAGCTAAGCCTCCGTTTTATCGCGGTCTTTACCCAGCCCACAGATCCAGCACGGCCTACAACCCATCTTTAACGACGCACCAAGGATCAATAGGGGTGTCCGCATCGCACGCGATGTCCGCGCCAGTGGAGAGGGTGTTGGAGTAGTCTGAGGCGTACCCTGCAGGAGCTGCTGCCGCGGGGTCTACCGCTTCAGCCATATCTTCAGCTTCAGCAGCTCCTGGTCGGTCGTCTTCTTCTGGTTTGTGCGAAGCAGGTTACCCCGCAGTCCACTCGCGATTGAATACATCTGAAGAATGAAGAGGTAAAAAGTGTTTCCATATCTTCATGGATTGGAATATGGATTCGGCTGTGGCTTGGTCGTAGTCGTTGTCCGTCAACTGATCCTTCCATGGCGTTGTATTCGGATCGGCGCAGTAGCCCCGACTATCACCATGAGACCAAACCCACGGCGTCTTGCAGAAATCAGGGATTCTTCATGGGCGCCTCATGGGGCGGCCAAGCCCGCGGCTGGCACTCGGGGCATGTGCAAGCAACGCCTCTGTAAAGTTTCTGTTCCTTGCTGATGGCCCTCTTGACGTCGCGCTTGATAAGGGCCCCTTGTGATTTGGCAGCCCCTGTCCTTTTTGAGCGAATGACCTTGCCTTCTTCATTTCGATCAACCTTGCGAAAAGAGAACACCAGTGACGAAGCTGGTGATCAGTCCAATCCTGGCCCAGCCAGCATAGCAAAGCATCTGGGTCTATATACAGGCGAGCCAATCCAGCATCCGAGTAGCCAACAAGGCGCTGAATTTCGTCTTCTGGATATTCTTTATGAGGTTGTTCCCCTTGAGGCGGGCGCCCCCGCGGACGCCCCCTCCCCGGGGGAGCGCCAGGTCCGTTGACCTGCCATGGGCGGGGCCCTCGGCCCCCCCGCACCAGGAGGATGGGGGCGCTGAAGGCCGCTAGAGCGGGCGCCACTGGAGCGCGCCCGCGCACGGCTGGGTGAGCGACCGTGGACCCGACCGCGACGTACCAGACGAGCGTCATCTTCCCATTATTCGTCGTCGTCGTTGGCGCGATACTTGCGTCTCCACGACCGGCGGCTTGCCGATCGCCCCATGGCGGCTCACGGAGCGGCCCGAAGCTACAAATGCGCATTGAAACCCTTCATTGCGACCGAGCTCATACTGAATGCGCTCAAACAGGTCGCTAACGTCTCGCGGGTTTCCCCGCAATGGATCGTCATCACGCAATTCCATCTTTGTCGGATTTCCAGTAACCCGAGGATAAAGCATCAACTGCATCTCCTCCTCTGTCGCAAGAATAAAAGCTTCTGAATCCGCGGGTGCCCCCGCCATTCCGCCATCTCCTTCAGCAGGCGCGTGGAAATTCTCGACGAACTCAACATCTGCAGGTTGCCCCACGATGGGCATGCCCAGCCAGTCTGCTAGATCAATATCATTGTGGCCAGTGAATACCTCATCGAACAGCCCAGCGGCGCAATTCTCGAGGGACACACTGGCACTCACATATATGGCAGCCATGACGTTAACAAGTGCAGCTGAGCAATCGGCAGGGTCGGCTAAAGTGACCCCCGGACAACATTTTGCATGTCCGAGTCAGTTTGAGCCAGATGCGTCGACGGACATGCATCGACGGACCTCTGCCGCCCCCATCGCCCTGAGGGCATTCGCGGCGAAAGTGCCGCGTGCTACGGCATATGTCGCACTCCATGGTTTTGCCGTCGGCATCCTTCGGGCTTCCCCGACGCCTCTTACCTTTTCCTGATGCACGCCTACGACTCCTGCCTGCACCTAGAAATATCTCTTCATACTGTGGCCCGGTAAGGGATGCTAGGAATGCAGATATGCTTCTGCCATGCAACTGCCGACGCCGACCTTTACCCTTACCTCGACCCTTGCCTTTTTCCCATGAGTGCCCGTCGGGCGAGACGCCGTACCTTACGAACTGGCTTCCTCATAAATCGCATGCACCTGCGTTTATGATTCTGGTATCCTAAGGATAACCATTGCGCCTGCTGCTCTTCCGTGAAGTACGTAGGCACATCAGAGTACTCAAGGGTTGTGGCCTCGGCGTCCGAAGACGCGTCGGTGTCGGTACTGGGGTCGACGTCGGACTCGGCGGGTTGCCCCGCTGAGCCCATTAGGGCTGCGGCTTGCGCAGGGGGCACCGCGTCGGGCGGCCCCCGAAACCTGGCCCAGGAGTCTTGCGACCCCGAAGCCGATCCACCATTCTGAGCCAGTAGTGTGGTGGTCTCAGTTGGTTGTGGATCGTCATTCCTGCCGTTATTAGCAGGTTGCCCTGCGTTTGCCTCAACGTGGAAGGTCTCGGCTCGGTGACCGTGACTGAAAACATCACCAATATTGCCGGGGGTTATCTCAGCAACGTGTGCATATGACCTCACGCGTTCAAGTAGAGCGTCGAACTGTTGCTGGTCTCTCGGCATGCGGTGGCTTAGTGGCTGCAGGAGTTGCCGTGCACGCGATGTCCCCACTCCAAGAGCTCCGTATAAAATAATTGTTCAGATTTGGAAGTTGGGGATGTTAAAGCCTGCCGTTTCAGCTTCATACAGGCTATCTCGAAGCGCGCCAACGTCTGGTCGATCCGTTCGCCCGCATGGACTCGGAAGTCGATGAGAGCTGTACCAGAGTTGAGTTGGCGCTCCTCTTCTAAAATCTCGAACGTCGTGCTCCAGAGGAACATGATGTAGGTGACGCCGTCGGTATGGCGGCCACCTATGTTCACACAACAATTGATAACGGCTGGGGGAACTCTCATTGCTATGGTCCGTGCGAGGCCTCCCAAACCTCGCTGCAAGACTGCAGCTTGTTGGGAGGGCGTCATGTTGCCTGTGGTCACGTTGATCCAGGCATGTACCTCGCGGACGAATTCGCGGAAAAGTACTTGACCAGCTGGGTCCCAATGGGGGCCGGTCGTTCTTGTGTCGTCTCCGCCACGCATATGTCCTACCGCGCACCCGATAGCGACCCATGTGAGCCCAAAGATAATAATACCAATCCAATGGCCTCGCAGGCCGTGGTCGGATGTAGTCGGTTGGGGTCTCCGATGTGTGGTCGTAAGCCTGCGTGGGGGTGGAGGCGGCACAACGTCGTATCGCATGTTTCCATGCGTTAGGTTTTCGTGGAGTAGGTGGGTGGACTTCAGGAGTGTGGTAGCAGGGATGTAGGACGAAAGTAAGAGGCCTCCGCGTAGGCAGAGATGTCACTGCAAGTGTCCTTGCTATACTGCGTAGTTATATACATTCCTCCGCGCAAACCCACTGCACCCTGATGTTCCACCACGTCTGTAATCCACCAGGTAGTGCCGTGGATGGTGAGGAGTAGAGCAAGAGCTGACCACCATAGGCCAGTTCCGCTACCAACTTCGAAAGGGGTTAGGACGCCCAACCAACAGCTTCGCCTTAGGCGGAGCCCAGCTCCCGCTCTGTTGTACCGCAGTAACGATAGTCCCAGTAGTAGGGGCCGAGCCATCACAAGCAGTTTTGGTATCGATGGCAAATAGTACACCTCGCGCTGAAATGTGGTCAGATCTGGGCGGCCGGCCGCTTTGAGCCAAGCAGCCGCGGATGCACGCTCGTTCCCACTCACATGCAACGCCCAGCTCACTTTAGAATGCCCCAGAGGGCCTCCAGAGGGACCCCTGACAGCCTGAAGCGGCTCCAAGACGGCCCGAAAACGGCCCGAAAACGGCCCCACGACGCCCCACGACGGCTCCACGAAACCTCCAGGGCGTTGGCCCCAAGACGGCCAAGAGGGCCCCAAGACGGCCCAAGAGAGACCCAAGACGGCCCAATAAGACCACAAGACGACCCAAGAGGGACAAAGGGACCCCCAAGCCTGCCCCGCATGAGCCCTAGAAAACCCCACGAGAGCCTTATCAGGCCCTCCCCGAGCTTCTGAGCAAATGCAAACGAGAAACGGACACATTTGACGGCCCTGTGGGCGGTGCTGCACGGGTCAGAACGCTTCGCTGGCACGGTGGTGGATTTGCCGCAGGCACCTTGATTTCACAAGCCCCAGGACGACCAGAACCTGCACATCTCATTTGCGAGAGGAGGGCGCGTGAAGTTCCCAACCACCCTGAGACAGCTGTTCACCATGGAAAAATCATTCATTTTAGCAGCGGCGGCGGCAAGTGCGCTGCAGATGCTCCGCGACTGCCGAATTCAGAGTGCGCTGGCCCCGCTCGTCCACCGCCCGTTCGGGAAGACAGGGCCGCACTCACTTCGAGAGGACGAGAACGACGGCGATGACAAGGGAGAGGAGAGAAGAGCAGGCAGAGGCAGCCCCTCGCTGAGTCGTGAACGACGCGCGGGCGCCCTCGGCTGCGCTGCCGGCCCTGCGGCCACGCGCCCCGCTTGGCTCCCGCGTCATACCACGTAGCGCCGCCGTGCCCTGCTGCTGGGCCCAGCCCAGGTTGTCGAGACGAGCACGACCTGGGCGCGCCCACCTTCCCCTGCAGTAGCCGAGGCGCTCACGGCCGGAGCCACCGCCGCCGCGTCGGGACGCTCCCCCGGAGGGGCTGGCGCGCGCACGACTTGCTGCGCGGCAGGCGCCCATGAGCCGGAGAGGCCCATTGCTGGCCCGCCCGACGGCGCGTTGACGGCAACGCGCGCCATCGCCGCCTGGCGCCGAGGTGGCGACCACCTCGCGGCAACCGTCTGCGCGTCGCTGGCGCAGACCGATGGCACGGCGGTGCTCACGGCGGGGACCGCCTCGGCCGTATCGGGAAGGGCAGCTGTGCGCAAGACGTGGTGCGCGGCAGGCCCCCAGGAATTAGAGAGACCCATGGCTGCTCGGCCGGGCGCGGGGGCAGCGCCGCAGGCCACCGCCGCCTGGCGCGGCGACCACCTCGAGGCGGAGGCCGAAGCGTTGCTGGCGCAGGCCGCTGGCACCGTGGCGGATCCGCCCCTCTTGGCCGCCTCGTCTTGGATCCAAGGCGGGGGCGCGCCGAAAGATCGCCGCAGCAGCGCTGGCCTGCCAGCGACGGCGGCGCAGCTGCCGCCCGCGGCGCGGCTGCCGACCACTGCCAGCGGTCTCCCCAGGCGCGGGGCCGGGCAGCAGGGCGAGTCGGCGCCAAGCGACGGCGACCGCGTCCGCAGCAACGACGCCCTCGACGCCGAGGCTGGGGCGCAAACGACGGGGGGGCCTGCCGGCACTGCCAAGGAGCAGCGCACCCTGACGTGCGAAGGCGGCGCTGGGGGGGCTCCGCGGCTTCTCGCGCTTGGCGCGGGCGCGGCGAGGCTGCGGCAGTCACTTGGGGCCGGCGAGTGAGGCCACTGCGGCACTCGCCGCACACTCGAGGGCACGGGGGAGTGCCTGCAGGGCTTCAGGTGCAAGGAATTCCAAAGCGCATGGCATGGGCTCTTGACTAGAACGTCCCACTCATCCATATCAGTTCACACGAATCGCTGCGGAGAACCCCTACAAGCGCATCTTTTCTATTGTGCGCCCTGTCCCTTAGACCGCTGGTCGGCGCTGGTGGGAACTGAGCATGACTGACCTGGACCGGTCTGGAACCAGCTGGGCTGGGAGGGACTGAACTGAGCTGCGCTTAACTGAGCTTCGCTGAGCCGCATTGACCTTGAGCGAGCTGGGTCGAAACGGACTGGGCAAGGCCGAGCTGGGCTGAGTTGGACCGTGCTGGTCTGAGCGTCTGAGCAGGGCAGAGCCTGGCTGGGCTGGACTGATCTTTGCTGGGCTGGACAAGGACTGGCTGAGACGGGCTGGTACGTGCTGAAATCGGCCGAAGTGGAGCGGACTGGGACGAAATGGGCTGGGCTGAGCTGATCAGGGACTGAGGTGCGCTGAGCTGCACTGACCTGGGAAAAGGCGGACTGATCAGGGCTGAGTTGGACGGAGCTGGATCGCCGCAGACTTAACTGGTCGAGCCAGCACAGGGCAGGACTAATCTTGATACACATGAGCTGGCTAAGCTGAGCTGGCTTAGTCCCTCACGGGCCCGTGATTCCACACTAGTCGCCCCTTCTCCCCCACCCCTTGGGGAGCCCGATTACGGCATCTTGTTATTATGCAGCTGAAGAGAGAGAGAGAGAGAGAGAGAGAGAGAGAGAGAGCGATACACACATACACATGTAGATGTTTCCACATACATATATACAGAGAGAGGGGGGCGAAAATTAGCCTGGCGAAGGACCCAACCATATGCAGTTGAGAGTACCGCAATTGTGAATATCTTCTTCGGTGGCGCTCCCTATGGGGCCACGAGCCGTATGAGGGGTGTGCCGAAATGGGTGTGCGGGACGCATGCGGACGGCACCATGGGGCCTTCGGTGGAGCTCCCTATGGGGCCACGAAACGTGTGAGGGGTGTGCCGAAATGGGTGTAGGGGACGCATGCGGGCGGCAGCCCTCGGGCCTTCGGTGGAGCTCCCTATGGGGCCACGAAACGTGTGAGGGGTGTGCCGAAATGGGTGTGCGGGACGCATGCGGACGGCAGCCATGGGGCCTTCGGTGGAGCTCCCTATGGGGCCACGAAACGTGTGAGGGGTGTGCCGAAATGGGTGTGCGGGACGCATGCGGACGGCAGCACTGGGGCCTTCGGTGGAGCTCCCTGTGGGGCCACGAAACGTGTGAGGGGTGTGCCGAAATGGGTGT